TGTGTATGGACTCAGCAGAGTCTGTGTGTGTATGGACTCAGCAGAGTCTGTGTGTGTGTATGGACTCAGCAGTATGTGTGTGTGTGTATGGACTCAGCAATCTGTGTGTGTATGGACTCAGCAGTCTGTGTGTGTATATGGACTCAGCAGTCTGTGTGTGTGTATGGACTCCGCAGTCTATCAATAATTAAAATTCCTGTGAGTTGTTGTGTAGGAAGGGCCCCAGTGTATTGCTTTGCCCAGGGGCCCTTAACTCTGTTAAAATGGTACTGCTTGTGTGTGTCAGTGAGCTTCTATTTAGTGAGCATGTGTGTGTCAGTGAGCTTGTCTTTAGTGAGCTTGTGTGTGTGTCTCTGAACTTCTTTGTAGTGAGCCTTCTGTTTATACAAGTGAGTGTCTGTAGTAAGCTTGTGTGTGAGTCAGAGAGTTTTGTCTGTCAGTAAGTCTGTTTGCGCATGTCAGTGAGCTTGTGTGCTTACTGTACTATATATATATATATATATATATAATTTTTTTTAATTTTTTTTTTTGACTTGTAGGAATGGCATACGTTTTTTTTCCAGGGCTGCTTTGGATTCCCAGGGATTCCCAGTTTGGCTCTGCCAGCGAGTGCACTTTACCGCTGAATAATCTGTGTGAGCTGCCGCACACTTTAGCCCTGTTACACGCGTCTGGGAGCTGCTGTTGACAGGTACTAGTAGTCTAGAGATTGGGGTATATGCTCAGCTATCTGTATAATACAGATCTGTGTGTATAAAATATCCCGGGATAGTCAGTGCTTCCTGTATAGTGCTGCTCTCTGTTTTGGGATTATACAGAGAGCAGCACTATACAGGGAGCACTGAGTGTCCCAATTTATTATACACACAACCCTGTATTATACAGAGAGCACTGACTGTCCAGGGATATTATACCCAGACAGTAATTGATAGCTGTGCTGCAAAATATCCTTGGAATTTTTTTTTCAAATGTTGGCAACTATGGCACTGTATCAAGGATAATGTGTTTGTTTTTTTAATAATCCCTGGTGGAAAATCATGAATCCTCCACCAGGTATTATTAAAAAAACCAAAACACATTGTGTTGGGGCGTGGCTTAACATGTGACAGGGGCGGGGTCAAACTGCGGCGAGGGCGGGGTTAAATGTGCCCCCCTACTTTTGTCACTGGCCCTCCATGTGCCCCCCCGAAAAATGAATCCTAGAGACGCCACTGTCTGGGACATCATGCCTCGCTCCATCCACCAACGTCACGTTGCACCACAGACTGTCCAGGAGTTGGCAGATGCTTTAGTCCAGGTCTGGGAGGAGATCCCTCAGGAGACCATGCGCCACCTCATCAGGCGCATGCACAGGCGTTGTAGGGAGGTCATACAGGCACGTGGAGGCCACACACACAACTGAGCCTCATTTTGACTTGTTTTGAGGACATTACATCAAAGTTGGATCAGCCTGTAGTGTGTTCTTCCACTTTAATTTTGAGTGTGACTCCAAATTCAGACCTCCATGGGTTTAAAAATTTGATTTCCATTTTTTTATTTTTGTGTGATTTTGTTGTCAGCACATTCAACTATGTAAAGAACAAAGTATTTTCTGAAGAATATTTAATTCATTAAGATCTAGGATGTTATTTTTGTGTTCCCTTTATTTTTTCTGAGCAGTGTATTTTGTGTTGTAGACTTGTCACGGTTATTTACTAAACTTAGAGATCAATGTGAATTTCAGAATTAAAGGGGCATGCCACAGCTCAAATAAAAATCACTGCGTAATATATATATATATATATATATATATATATATATATATATATATATATATATATATATATATATATATATATATATATATATATATATATAACCCCTATAAAACATTTCATGCATTTAATTATGTATTTTTTCATTGGGGGTATATCTAAAAACAACTTTTTCAAAAACTACTCTTCTCTTGTCTGCTACCTTTGCAAGCGCACCCCTTCTAACGCCGTCCAGACTTTCTGTGGCTGTCCAATCACAGACTACCCAATGCAGCTCAATGAGAAGGCAGGTGCTCTGAGCAAATACAGTATCTGCCTCTTGAGTTTAACTCCATTGAGCTAACTAAACCAGGAAGTAACCTGTTGCCTGATTGACAGCCGGGGGCTTTAAGAAGGTCCAGTTATTTATAAAAGTGACAATTTCTGTTGATATCTGCACTCTTTTTGTAAAATGAAAAAGAGGACACACTCTTCATACGAGAAGCATTTCAGCAAGTGAAGTGTTTCAGGTTCTGGAGTGTCCCGTTAAGGTCAAAGGAGCTGAACTAAAAGAAGAACCTGAATTGTCCAATTAAAAAAATATTATAAAAATTGTGAAGCCTTTGATGAATGTTTGTGAATGTTCACCTGACCTATATATTTTCACAGGCTCTGTGGCGCAATGGATAGCGCATTGGACTTCTAGAAGCTGAAGGGATTCAAAGGTTGTGGGTTCGAGTCCCACCAGAGTCGCATTTTGTATTGGAGATCTTTGATTAATTTCTTTCTGGAAAACTGATATCCTCAAATTCAACAACATACATATTATGACACCTGGCATCTGTCACACTGTAAAATGGATAAAGGTTTTTTAAAGTGGTTTGTGTGCCAACTCTCATCACATTAAGTTTGAAATTGATGCAAACTTCTGTGATTTGCAGCTTCTGCAGTGACAGCGCATATAAAGAGGTGGTTAAAGGAACACTATAGAGTCAGGAATCCAAAAGTGTATTGCTGACACTATAGTGTTAAAAACACTATTTAGGTGCCCCTTTAAGGAGGGGTAAAACTTACCTTTATTCCAGCGCCTCCCTGGCTGAGTGTCACGGCTCCCGGGTCTTTTGTTGGCATGGCCTCACATAAACAGAGCAGCCACGCCGACAGAGATAATTTGTGCTTACCAGGGTCGTGGCGGATCATCACCCGATCCCCTCTCATTCTGTTCCCCAGCAGATGCAGCGTTCTTGGGGACGCCAACCGCTACAGTTCCGGTTTAAATAGACTACTTACCTCAGTCCACAACAAAGATGGTGCCGACGTGTGTGCGACGTCGCGTCATTGGCGAGCACGCACGTTTTGGGGTCAGAGGCCAAGTACAGTTGGCTGTAGAGTGTCAGCTGATCATTAAGTGAATTATATACAAAGTTGGATGAAATTCAAATTGCTAATGCAAAATAGGAAATGCTGCCTTAGCCATATCTGTAAAGGAAGGCCAGAGCATGGACACCTGGAGGACCCATGTAAGATTCAAACTGTTTGAAAACATTGGAAGATTGCCAGTGGACTCCTGGCCCCATAAACACTACAGAGTGCAGCTTTGAGTGCACCTTTAAGAGATGATGATTTTAGCTCCTATCCCGCACAGCCAGTTGGAGCAGTACACTCAACAGTGTGCTGCATTTCTAAAAGCTGAAAAGTTCAGTCTATGTAAGTTTTAACTCTTCCTTCTGATGCATCTTATTGTTTAATCTCTTATCAAATATTCGTTGGAAAAGTTCTAATCATGCCCTTTGTAACGGACCGTTTTGCACACAAGGGGTAAAAACCGTTTAGGCGATCGGCCCCCTTTCCAGAGATACAGGCACAGCTACTGCAGAACACCAAACTCCCAAACTGGATACAAAATAGCACTCCAACTCCCGAACTGGAACCTCCCAAATAGCTGCTAGCAGATGAACAGGAAAAGCAGACAATCAGCTTACACTCCTGGCAATCAGTCTCTAACAGCATACAGTGAATCCCCCCAAGAACGAGACAAGGCTCCGTGTTGAGGGTCAAGCAGTGGTCTGTTTAATGAGGGCTACCTGCCCAGCTTTTATGCAGGTCTCCCACCTGGTGGACACTCCCCTAGGGGACCAGATGGGAGACTGTGACAAGGGACAGACATGTACCAATTACAGACATACAGAAGTAAAACATCCCCACAATGCATCCTGGCTTCCTCCCTCTGCCCTGGAGAAGTAATTCAATTATCTCCAAGGACAAAGGCAAAACTCCATTACACACGTGGGGACACAAAGACAGACTATCACTTTAAAATACATAATGTAACATTTATCACATAAAACACAGACATGTAACATATCCCCAGATAGCTCAGGTCTGAGTGCACATTATTAGGTGAATGGCACTCAGACCACACGAATACAGTTTAATTGCCATGGAGCCAAAGTCTTTAATTCCACGAATAGGCTCCATGGCATAGCTATCTGGGTTAAAACATTCCTCCAACAGAAAATACCGAATTTACAGGCATTCGTTAAATCTGTGCGAATTAGAACCAGGGGTTGGAGGTTCAGCGGTGCCTGCACGTAAAAGTGTCCGGGTTTGGTGCATGAAAGCCGGGCAGAAAAGCGCTGGCTGCCCGGGGGGCTCCAGAACACCGCCATTGTGTGGCGGCTAAGTGTAACCGCGACCACCCAGTAACAATCAATTAAGCTGCGGTTAACCGCAGCTACTGGGTGGTCAATTGCCGGCACACGCTCGTTAAGCCGCGGTTAACCGCGGCTTCAGGGAGGTAAATGGAGGGCGCACTCCAGCTTCTGGGTGGCCAATTAAAGTCGCCGGGCGGCTTCCCACGGCTCTGGGGAGGCTGAAAATAAACTGTTTGTTTGGTAGATGGAATCTACCGAACGGCTGTGCAGAAAGGGAGAAATAAATCCTTCTGCACAGTAAAATTAACCCTTTAGCTGCCGGTCCATAATCCAAAGGCAGCAGGCGAGCAACCAGGCTTCTCCAATGCAATGTGGCGAGATTGGTTTCGTCACATCCTTCATTCATGGAAGGAAAAATTACTTAAAACTTTGCTTAATGTTATTAGGTTTTAAGAAAGTAGTTATGTAGTTATGGTACCGTTTGAATTGAAAATGTATAAATAATACTCCGAAATCCTTCTACAGATTTCTTTAACCCCTTAAGGACACATGACATGTGTGACATGTCATGATTCCCTTTTATTCCAGAAGTTTGGTCCTTAAGGGGTTAAACAAACTGTCTGGGCATCATAACCACTTCAACGCTTTGAAGTGGTGATGATGGCTGGGGTACCATGGTGTTATCCCTCAATTCACTGTTGCGACACCTCCCCACCAAATCTGCTTTAGCTAACAATACATGAGAGTCTGAGAGTAGTCATCATGTTGGGAAATTGATAATGGCTTTTAAAATGCATGTTAAAGTGATTATATTATAATATATAAAATATTATAATAAATATTTTAAAAAGATAATAAAAAATAAATAAAAAAGAATAACATTTTTTTCAATAAATCTTTGTGAAAAGACCACCCATGGATCATTTCTCCATGGGCTCTGTGGCGCAATGGATAGCGCATTGGACTTCTAGAAAGCTGAAGGCATTCAAAGGTTGTGGGTTCGAGTCCCACCAGAGTCGTATTTTTGCATTGAAGACTCATTCACACTCTTCATTCCTTTCTGGGAAACTCATGTCAACACATTCCAATGACATCTGTCATACTGGAAAATTGATAGGGACATTTAAAACAAACACTGAAAATCACAAATGTTGCTAGTCACCCTTTTTAATGCATTGAAAAATACAAACAATATATATTAAAAATAGAAAACGGGGGGCGGGGCCTGACAGCCAAGATGGCCAGACGTACTCCTTGAGAGCTCCTGCACCAGCAAGCAAACAAACGTGCATCCTGACTAAACTGCCCATGCTGGTGGCACACAAAGCCCCAAAAACGGAGTGGAACCGCATGGGGAGCATAACGATACCCGTCATGTACCACTGCACACTGCGGGCACATAGACCGGCCACGAGGCCTACACTGGAGCGGAGTCCGAGGTCTGGGGGAGACTGCCGACGCCCCGGCATGAGACCTGCTCACAAGCGAGCGTTGACTACTGCCCTGCTACCACCCCCTCTGGACCGGCGGGGGATATCCCGGTCCTCGCTGGGGACGATCACCCCAGCAAAGCAAACTAAACAAGCGACCAAATCTACAATCAAACGAGATAATAGAAACGCAACCAAGATGGCGGCCCAGGCGCGTCCGACGCCAAAATGCACCCTTGTTCAGCCACCCAAGCACACCCAGGAGTTCTTTGCCCGGCTATGTAACAGCCTATGGACGAGGCTCCGAACTAAGGGCCGGTCCTTTCATCTCGCCATGAGAACAGCGGCGGCATGGATCCGGCCGACTACACGGCGACACCTGTGCACATACTCCCCACGAGCTCCCAGGGGGGCCTTCAGTCAGAGACAGAGGCGGGAGGCGAGATGGCGAGAAAGGGCAACAGATCCCTCAGACGCCGACACTCAGCTTCACATGCACCACAGCAAGACCACTCCCCACACAGCAGTGCAGAAAACCACCAACCGCCGAAAAGCAACCCCACGGATGAAGATCCACGAGATCCAACCTCCGGCCAGCGAAAGCCAAATGTGGAGAGCACCTCCGAGATGAAGGAGGGACGGAACTCTACAGCGGCACCAACTCTGCCATTGCCCTTCGCTCACCCATCAAGCCCCCATTGCAGACCGACCAGAACAAGCCGCGCAGAGAATAGACACAGGAATCGGCTGACTGCTGAATGGGGCCGTCGAGCTGCATCTACCTGAGCACTATGAGACACTGAGCTTTGCGGCAGCTAGCTCCATGCTATAAGACTCTCGTAAGCCAACCAGATGAAGCATTTAAGCTAGTACTCATGTTTTGATATGACCTGCAGGTTAGCCTGGTTATAGATTAGGAAGTTAATTTTAAATGGCCTCACCTAGCCCATCTTAAATGTAGGATTCAATACACCCAACAAGTTAGTTACCTGCATAAGATTAATAGCTTTGTTTTAGCATGAGCCCAGTTTATTAGCATGTATACTACTGTTACTTTAGTTGTAATCTCTGCTATGACCTCACAACTTAAACACTGAATGTGTGCCTAACCTATTGCATAGTCCAGTATTTCTCATATAACAGTCTACCTAGATAGGCATCTCTACCAGAATAGCTTGTTTATACCATAACATTTAAAAATGTGCCGATACTCTAATGCCACGATTGTACAACTACTGTGTTTATATCTTTCAATTATGCCGTTGTGGCATTGAAAACGTTTTGTCATTCCTTGCACAAAGAAAAATAAAGAATTAAAAAAAAAAAATAGAAAACATCTTCTGACTTCTATTGGAAGGGTGGGAACATAGGACCACTTACCTCCAACTGTGGTTGGAATGTCCAACTGTAGCATCACTATGGATTTTCTAGATCTTGCTTGTGGACATCCTCGTGGATCCATGGGTATGGCTGCTGTCCAAACCAACTGAAGACATAATGAGAGCACAAAAATAAACTGTTAGCAAAAGTGACTTTAACCAGAAGGAAGCCATAGCAGAACAGTGGGGGAATTCTAATGCACCCTTAATGGAAGCAACGTTATGCAAGATAAAAGACGCAGTGGAGATGGATAAACTCTCAGCTTTAGTTGATGACTCTACAAAACAATTTCACAAGATACGGAATACATGGCTGAAAGATTCTGGGTTTCTTGCTTAGACGAATCGATCATTATGTCGAAGGCTCTTGTCTCCTTCGCAAATTTCAAGCTCTTAACTAAATTTTCCTTCTTCGTTTATTGCTTTTCTTCTTCCTCTTTTCTTCTTCCTCCACATGATTAATACTTATGTTTGCATTATTTACTTTAATTTTATTAATTCCGGCGACACTAGGATACCTATCTCTCATCTTACCACCCAGTGGAATCTTGTCTCACGTATTTGAGGATGCAGTAATATGCTTTGTCTGTTTTTTATCATATGAGCTTTAGCATCTCTGCTCCATACTTCATCTATCTTACTATTACTAAAAAGTATGCAGTTCCTCTAAATATCATGACCATATATTACACTGTCTGTTATTACTATGTCTGTACCTGCTGTCGTGGCACCACAAGCTTCATTGTTATTATTTGCACAACAAAAGTAAAGAATTATAAAAAAAATGAAAAAAATAGCATCCCCTTGTCTCTCTTAAATTGAGTTTACCCCCATCCAGCATGACTATTTCTTACGTTTCAGATGAAGACGTGACAAAACATTGTCAAGTAAAGCATACCCAAGTTAGTTTTTCTATTTTGTACATATTGAGTTGATAATTCTAGCTAATAATATAAAAAAAATTATAATGTTCTAAAAATAAATAAATTTAGAAAACACTTAGGCTCTGTGGCGCAATGGATAGCGCATTGGACTTCTAGATAGCTGAAGGCATTCAAAGGTTGTGGGTTCGAGTCCCACCAGAGTCGCATTTTGCATCGGTGACTCATTTAAGCTCTGCAAGCATTCAACTCATTCTTGGTACATCCGCACATTCAATTGGAATCGTCAAATCGTAAAACTGAATTTAAAATGACAGTTCCAACTGTTGCCAGTCACCCATGCACATGCAAACAATAGAAAATACAACTGATCTTTAAAGGAACAATATAGACACCCAGACCACATTAGCTCAATGAAGTGGTGTGAGTGCCAGGTACCCCTAGTTTTAACCCTGCAGCTGAAAACATAGCAGTTTCAGAGACGCTGGATGTCCTCACGGGGTCCAGTGTCCAAAAATATACCCTAAACGGTGACTAGGGCTCTGTAGATACATACTTGTATTCCTAACGCTATAGTGTTTCTTTAGCGCATTAGATATGATGGGCATACAACGCAAATTCGCAATAGCAAACTTTGCCAACAGGAATGCGAGATTTGGTTTCTGTGTACAGTAAAGCTGTACTTTACATCTTTGTTGCAATGCAAATTTCGTCCTGGTAAGAGGGAGGATCTCGCTTATCGACCTCCCACTGAATGGGGAAAAATTTACATTGCAATAATATTATACAATAATTATATAATAATATTTGCAGGATCGACGTTTGGAAGTCTTCAGAGGGTAAGAAAACCAAAGACACTTTTCTTTAAAGATTTTGAAATTGCTCTAAATTCCAGTGCTTTGCAGCTTCTGCAGTGAGATCTCTCTAGGTTGCAAAATTGGTAGTAAGATCTCTGACAAACCTGCTACACCCATAACTTTACACAGGAAATACATAAAACGTGTCGGCACAAATAAAAAGGACTTTATCAACTATCATTGTAGTGGTTATAGTGCCTATTATATTTATAGTGCTATTCCACTATTATGAGTCAATCTGTTTTAAAACTGTTTGACACTTACTTGGGCCCCCAAGGTATCTCATTAGAGATTTCACTAAAGCAGAAATTGTCTTAAAGGAACAATCCTGGCATTATAATCACTTCCTCTTTGTGAAGAGGTTGTGATGGCTGGAGTGCCCATTAATTTAGGGTAGTTCACTGTTGTGGCACCCTTCCACCAAGTATGCTTAGCTGCTATAGGCTCTGTGGTGCAATGGATAGAACATCTGACTTTTAGGAAGCTGAAAGCATTCAAAGATATGATCACAAGAGTCAGATTTCATTAACTAGTTTGGAGTATCTGATCCATTCTCTTTAAATGTTCTTTAATGAATAAGTGGTAACCACACACTACACCTACCACATATTAAGACATTTGGCATCTGTTTTATTGTATAGAGATGTTCTAGTGGTTATGGTACCAGAAGTACTTTGGTGCCGCTTCCCCCATTGTAAGTAGTCAAAGTGTTTTAGAATGATATGACATCTTACTATCGGGGCCATTTACGGCTCCACGACTCAGTGGTTATGGTGCTTGGAGTGTTCCTTAAATATGTGGGTTGAATGTGTGGACATCACTTTTCAAGTAAGGAATGTAGAGTAGATCAGATGTTAAAGCGTAAAATGAGAGTCACCAATGCGACTCTGGTGGGACTCGAACCCACAACCTTTAGCAATTTAAAGTATTAAAGGAACACTATAGTCACCTAAATTACTTTAGCTAAATGAAGCAGTTTTAGTGTATAGATCATTCCCCTGCAATTTCACTGCTCAATTCACTGCCATTTAGGAGTTAAATCACTTTGTTTCTGTTTATGCAGCCCTAGCCACATCTCCCCTGGCTATGATTGACACAGCCTGCATGAAAAAAAACAAACTGGTTTCACTTTCAAACAGATGTAATTTACCTTAAATAATTATATCTCAATCTCTAAATTGAACTTTAATCACATACAGGAGGCTCTTGCAGGGTCTAGCAAGCTATTAACATAGCAGGGGATAAGAAAATCTTAATTAAACAGAACTTGCAATAAAGAAAGCCTAAATAGGGCTCTCTTTACAGGAAGTGTTTATGGAAGGCTGTGCAAGTCACATGCAGGGAGGTGTGACTAGGGTTCATAAACAAAGGGATTTAACTCCTAAATGGCAGAGGATTGAGCAGTGAGGCTGCAGGGGCATTTTCTATACACCAAAACTGCTCCAGTGCTGTGCTGTAGGAATATTCAACAGTAAAGAGGTGTGTGTGTATCTACATTTAATGCCGTATTTATTAGAATCTAACGCGCAAATTTATTGGCAAAATACAGTCTCCAAAAGTTGAATGCGCATTAAATTCGATGGCGCATTAGATATGATAGGCATACTCCGCAAATTCGCAGGAGCGAACTTTGCATTTGCATCTCTGCAACAGGAATGCGAGACTTGGTTTCTGTGTACAGTAAAGCTGTACTTTACATCTTTGTTGCAATGCAAATTTCGCCCTGGTAAGAGGGAGGTCCTCGCTTATCGACCTCCCACTGAATGGGGAAAAATTCACATTGCAATAATATTATACAATAATTATATAATAATATTTGCAGGATCGACGTTTGGAAGTCTTCAGAGGATAAGAAAACCAAAGACAGTTTTGTGAAGATTATCAGCTGACCTTTCTTCGGCGCCCATGCCCGTCGACAATCCATTCTTCCTCAAACTGAATTGGAAAAAGGTGATGCCACTGGGGTCAGGGAGATCCTGCTGGATAGAAATCTTTGAGGTTAAACCATGCATTTTACTCTAACACATCCATGGACACATAAAAATCACAGAAGAGTCAAGTCTTTATTAAAACCAGGACATTCAAAGCACCATAATCACTATATACCCTGGGCACACAATTCATATTCACATATTCTAGGAGCCTCATCTCCTCAAACTGCAGTCCATGAGCAAATATTCCAGTGGTCAAGTCTAGGCCTCGCGACCTCAAGCCACAATCCCAAGCACAAATAAATACATTGCTTGTCTTGTGCAATTTCTCCCCATTCCAGTCCACCATTAGACATGGTGTCACTCTATGTGGACCATGATCTCTAGTGGTAAATTCTAAAGTCAATACGCAAAAAATAAATAAAAAAAATTTGAGATCCAGCAAAACCGAAGAAGAACAAAATATTACATAATGTAATTTGGCCAAACGATAGTCTGACGTTGCTGTATCTCTCTTTCTTTTTCTTATTCTTTATTTTTGTAGTGCATAGAGAAACATACAGGTTCATATGGACATTTAAACAAGAGCATATAAAGGAAATGTAAAGACAAGTAAAACATTAAATGCCAGAAACTGTACTTTTATAAAGTAGATCAGACAAAGGTAACGCCGTATAAATGCATAGGTGATAAGTAAATAAAGGAAGTCATACAAGGTTAATATACAAGCGAAGTATGCCATCCTGAGTGAGATCTCTCTGGGGGTACCGACTGAGCGTAGGGGAAATGTCAGCAAGCTTGAAAAAGACTATCTTAGTCAAAACGTTGCTGACATTTGGGTTCCATTAAATTGTGCCCTTTTAATATCTTGGAGTGCCTGGACCTTTTTCTCTTTTACATACTGTATCTGGGACCTGGTGCCAGTTCCTGTGTTGATAGCACCCAGGATTTTGTATTTGGATGAGTGCAATTCTGGGTTTGGTTTTGCACAGAAGAAAGTAATGTAACCGCAGGTGGTTCCCTTATTTACCACTATAACGTCTTAAAGCATAGAATTTAGCAGGGCTAACCATACAGATATCTTAGCCATAATTTCATATAGTTAGTAAGAGATCCTCTACTTAACATATATAAATAATTGAGAATACAATATAAAATAAGGATTGTCAGCTATCCCTGCTGCCACTAAAAATGTCCACGGCTAAGCCGTAGTCCTGATAGTTTTCACAATATGACCATTTGTTTGCAACTCACACCGTCTATTGACATTCATTGAAACTCCACTCTAAGCTCAAATTTGAAGGGCAATTTCTAAACTGCGACTGTGCCTTCATTTTTAATACTTCAGAGACATACTATGCATCGAAATGTAGGTCTGGGTCTTGTGATTCTCACAATATAAAGCTCTTCGCTGTAGGATTTATAGTTTATAAAATACGACCGTTTGAAGATGGCAACCGCCAAAATACTCTGACCTGTGTCAGGCTGCAGCAGCAAGTGATGTCATAGACAGGGCCTTTTGAACACCTGCTAATGTTTTATAAATGTATGGTTTAATGTAACTGTGCAACAACGTTGCAATTAAATGTGTTATATAAATGATAACAGTTACTCCGCCCACTCCAGTTGTAGACTACTGGTGGAGGCAAGAACACCACACAATTTCCCCAGAAATTGTAGCTTTTCTAGCTATTATTGTATGTCGTCTGGGACAAAATGGCGTAAACATATTATGCACTGAAGGTAAGCAAGAGGTTATTACTTAAAGAAACAGTTATGAAAAACAATATGTTCCATTTCTAACACCTTGTCAGTTTGCAATATCTCTTAAAGACAAAGTACACAGTTTAAGAAATACAATATTTGTATTTGCCCATAACACTAAAAGCTGCTTGCCACCACTACCTCTTCACCTCCATCGAGGGCTCTGCAACAAAAACTTTGGTGGTCATCTTAGGTTGGTCGATGCAGGGATCACTTGCTGCTTGCTCAGGACTCAGTGTGTTCAGTGTGTGCTAGCCAGACAGGCATGAATCGGGATAACATCCCTGGTACCAACAAGAAGACTCATGGATATCAGCAGCACCAGACCGGTAGATCAGCCACATCTCCCGCCTTCAGGACTTGCTGGATAGTAGAGGCCTCATCTGGAACTCCATATCATGTGGATTGAGGTAAAGAACAAGATAGTCAGCGAGGGATCCCCTCTCCTGGCTAGAGTAGGTTTGTAGTTGTGAGAATGCAAGATTGGAGCTGAAAAACGCAATATAAACCTAATAATGAGGATTTGGAGAGGAGCTCTGCTCAAAGCTGTCTGCTCAGTCCAACGGCCAGGCCCCGCTTCCATTTCCTTTAATATTGAAGGCTAAATACTAAGCATTTATTTTTTTGTATATTTTCATTTTGGTAAAATCTAAAGTGCCAGTTAGAACCGACATCACGCTATCCTATTGCATTCCAGGTGATGGGGATGGCTGGCACTGTTGGCCTGAAGGCATGTATGGCCTTTCTTGCACCTGAAGATCACAGATCTATAAGTGGTGGTCCTACATACAGTATATAGAGATTAAACAGATGGAGCCAGCTGGAGATGCAACGTATGTCATCATATAGTCGGTCCTACACACAGTATATAGAGATTTAACAGATGGAGCCAGCTGGAGATGCAACGTATGTCATCATATAGTCCTGTGACCTCCATCAGTATGGCCTGCACAGCATGAAGCCGTATTCACAAAGGTCTGCCCATGCCTAAGCGATGTTGACTCTCTTTACCACCAACTACATTGCCACCAATGACAACTGGAGTGTGTTATGAGTGGCATGATCACGGTCAGTCTGCAGTCTCTTACAAACACCTCCAGAGACATCAATATTGAAGACTGGTCAGCCTCAGATACCACAGTCCGCCAAGAAATGTCCAGAAGAGACACAAGGGCACTATAGTGTTAAGAATACAGCTTTAATATTAGTTATTGTTCCTTTAACCTTGTCATGATCAGGATTAAGCAAATCACTTACCGTGAACAATCCTAGCATGTCAATGATCCTACAGAGGTTAATTACACCAGAACTAAAAATAATCCCATAATCATTTGGATACTTTAATCATCTTAATTATTATATATTACATAAAGCAAAAAATACATTTATTTGGGTGCATTTCTGAATGTCTCCAGACAGTACTCTGATATCGCATTATTTTTCCATAGTACATACTTCACGGTTACATATCTTTTATATTACATTATTATTTAAATTAAGGATAGGGTTAAGGTTGGGGTCCCTTTAATCTTACAGCTGTACTGGGAAAAACATGTCCCAGTATGCCCAAGATTGGTGACACAGAGGCTATTGCCTTTTATTCAGCCCCTTAGGTGCGGAGACAGAAAAGCACTCTCTGTCTCCTCAGTTCCACACTCACTATATTAGAATTGTGAGACAGACTGGGAATGAATGAGCCTAACTCCCACTAATCACAGGCAGATTGAGTGATTTATTTTCATTGCTGCCCTGAAATTAAGGGCCCCTTACATTGTATGGTGTCAGTCACAATAATAATTCTGAAAAAAACAGGCAGATGTGCATTTAATGTACCCATTGTACAGCGCTACGGAATCTGATGGCGTTATATAAATAATAAAATAATAATAATAATAATAATAATAATGCGTAAGCTTGCGCGGCACATTTTATTAGGGTGTGCACCCCAGGGAACACAAATATAAGGTACATATTTATTTGATATCCATTCAATGTTATGGTTTTATTAATTTAGCTATCTAAAATTTTCACTCTAGCGATCACCACATTTTTGCTCCTATAATTACAAGGTATACAAAAAAATTATAATAATATTTTTTTTTAAACTTTTCCCAGCCAGATAAGCTAACTCTTAAATAAAGATCTATATAGGGAAGAGGGAGGATAATGCTGCTCTGTATTAAGGTGTTCCTGGGTACACCTCTGATGATATAATTATATAGATAATTAAAACAATTTTCTGTAGATGTAATTCCAGTTAATCATTTCAATAAGTTTATACAGTGCAATCATTTTATAATGTTTATATAATATAGCAATCATCTTATAGTGTTTATATAATCTAATCACACCTTTCAGAAAAATAAGCTTTTAAATACAACATATAAATTAAACTAAACTAAATGCAACTGTACGTAAAAGAAACATGCAACAGGTTACTGATACCAGTTAAGTAAAGTTGGCTAGGAATAGATCGGCTCTGTGGCGCAATGGATAGCGCATTGGACTTCTAGAGTTTGAATGAAGATATTCAAAGGTTGTGGGTTCGAGTCCCACCAGAGTCGCTTTTTTTTGTCCCCCTCCCAAACTCTAAATACATTGCCACTTTGTCATGTGTGAACAATTCAAACCAATCTCCCTCTTACCCACAGCCAATCTTATCTTTAACCCATAAATCTCATGTAAAATAGCAACTTCTGTTTGCAAGGCTCACAAACAGTCCCTTATCTCAAACTCCCTAATGCAATCCAGCTCATGTAATCTGAGTTCCTAATAAGGAGGAGGGTCATTGCAACAAGCTTTGAGGGCTGCTAGAGGGGTTGGAACAGCAAGATAGTGCAGCCTGTCTTTTGAGTTTGAAGACAAAATCCCTCAAATCTTTATTCTAAAATAGAACACTGGATCTATACAGACACTAAACACAGATCACAGTTGAAAAAAAAAGTTACTTTCACTCTTTTGAACTGTTGGATTGCTGTTGCTGCCACCTGCTGACAACATGAAAAATAACACTTCTGCTCCAAAACAAGAACTTTTCCCTTGTTCACGTGATGCCTGTAACAATCTTTTTCCTTTTCTGTTCCCCCCCCCCCAAAATAAAAATAAATAAATTAAAAAAAACAAGTACAACTTGCAAAATAAATAAAAAAACAAAATGACAAGATTTGTAGATTTTCAGAAGTACCCAAGAAATGATATCGTAAGAAATAGCGTTTAAATAAAAACTTTTATTATTCAATAAATAAGTATATTTTGTCATTAACATTTACAACAAAAGTTTCAAAATGAAATACTTAATTGTTGGCATTAAAACAAGCCCACAATATCCTGTACAGCGATAACTTCCAGAGTATAAATCTTATAACAATGACCCCTTTCTAGAATATTTTTTCCCCCCTCCAATTAATTATGCCAAGTTGTTCAGAAAACAATATCAGAACAAAGAACGGACAGCATAGAGAGACTGAACAACTGTTATTGTGTACTGTTTTCTAAATAAAACAAACAGCAATGCCAGACTTGGCATGTTTGGTTAAAAAATTTTTTTTTTTTAATTAATAATAATAATAATCTTGCTTTTTTTTTTTCTTTTGAAGGGCGTATTCATATTTTCAGCAGAGACACCCATGAATTTTCTTAGTCCTCCAAATCCAATCCAAACTCGGCATATAGATCTTTAGTAGTGACGCCCCTGAGGACAGCTGTAGAGGGAAAAAAAAAAAAATCTAATGAAATGGGGATGTCCGATAACTTGTTTTACAATTTTTTTCCTAATTTGCAAGGACCCACAATGGTGATTTCACTACTTGGTGACTGGTGGCTGCGGAGAGGGGGGTTCTACTTATCTGAACCTGGCCCTCCTGGCCATGACCAACTGCATCTGTTAAATCCTCTTAATGAAGTAGTTTTGGTGTATAGCACATGTCCCTTCAGTCTCAATGCTCAATATTCTGCCATTTAGGTGTTAAATCACTTTGTTTATGAACCCCAGTCACACCTCCCTGCATGTGACTTGCACAGCCTTCCTTAAACACTTCCTGTAAAGAGTCATCTAAAGTTTATCTTTCCTTTATTGCAAGTTCTGTTTAATTTAGATTTTCACAGTGAGAGCACGCCAGCGTCCATAGGAAAGCATTGTAAATGCTTTCCTATGTGACCGGCTGAATGCGCACGCAGCTCTTGCCGCGCGTGCACATTCAGCCGACGGGGCGGAACGGAGGAGGAGAGCTCTCTGCCCAGCGCTGGAAAAAGGTAAGTTTAAACCCCTTTCCTCCTTCCACAGCCGGGCGGGAGGGGGACCCTGAGGGTGGGGGCACCCTCAGGGCACTATAGTGCCAGGAAAACGAGTATGTTTTCCTGGCACTATAGTGGTCCTTTAAAGTATATTTTTTCTTCTTCTTCTGGATTATTCAGTAAACCCAAACTTGTAATTACTCTGCTCGTAGTTAGAAGACTAGGCCTACTTACTGTATTTCTTTCCATAATACATTGGGGAAAAAATTCAACGCCAGCATATATATATATATATATATATATATATATATATTTATTTATTATTATTATTTTTTTTTTTGCTCATTAAACCTGAATTTTTAATTAATTAAAAAAAAACTAATTTTAAAATTCAGTCTGAAATAGCCAAGCTGTGACTATCTCGGAGTTGGACATTTATTTATTTTTTTTGTCCAAGTTTTGCAATTTGATTTTTTCACAATAGTTTGGGGTAAATGAATAATCCAGAATGAAATGTAGAGAAAAGACAAATGACTTAAAATGTAAGTTTAAAATAGGCATAATGGAAATCTTTTCCAATCCAGCAGTTTTTCTGTAAATATTGCAACACAAAACCAACAGGGATGCTCTCAAACTGCAGCTGTTGAACGTGCCTTGTAGGCTGTGCATAGCTCACACCAGACCTGGCGTGTCAATCATCAATGAGTTGCGCTAATGGGATTCGGTTTGTAGGTTCCAAAGGGTATCCACGTCTGTTAGTGGTGCCAGCTATGCCAATAACGTTAAATGATTTTTATTAGATCAATCTGTCTTACCAAGTCTGCCCAAGAGCAGCTGTCCGGTATCTTTTAACTCATTGTACTCATGGAGAAGTGATATGTGTTGTTCCAGTTCAGCCATACTATAACCTCTGTTAAAAAAAAAAAAGAGAGAGAGACTTTGTTATCTGGGTGATATTGGCAATAAACTGCAAAAAAAACAAAACACCAAATGGATACTACGCAAATAGGTTTGGAAGAACATACTCTGCCTCCAACTGGGCGATCTCCGCATCCAGAGCATTTTCCTTCTGTTTTAGAGCTGAAATTTCTACGTGCAGATTTTCCACCGATTCTTTGGGTGACTGGCTGCAATGGGGAGACAGGACCTATTGGGACATCAGGAAGGTTTTAAAAAGGATTTTAATGGAACATTTTTATAATCTGTCAGGGCCCTGTTGCTGAATCTATTAAATGTTTTATTTTTTGGCTTTACAATACTTATAAAGATTTTTAAAGGAACACTATAGCATTAGGAATATAAATGTGAATCTTTCCAGCGTGAGTAGTTCCTCCAAATATTAGGTGGATTTATCAATAGTCGTATGTTATAAAGACAGGCTTGCAAATTTATAAAAAACAAACAAAAAAAAAACACAACAACAACTTATTTTTGGCTACAGTGACAGATTTGTGGAGTTTGTTTGCTAAACTCTGAATTATAGTTAACTGCAATCTGAATGACACATTTTAGGTTATAGGGAAACTATTGCTAAGAAAACAAATGTCTGTCGGTGCTGGCTAAACTCTGCCCACACTCCTCCCCAGAAAAAGGCAAGTAAATAAAGTTTTTTTTTAACCCTTTATTTAACAGGAAAGGGAGAGGAGTGGGGTGAGGGAAGGGGAGCGATAGTGCAAGGAATACAGCTTTGTATTATGGGCATTACCAGTGGCGTACATACCAGGGTCCTGCGACCGGGCCCGGCCCACCATGGGGCACGGCCTCCCTGCGACCCGGTGTGTACCCACTGGGCCAGCCTCTTCCTGGGGCCCTTGGGTGGTCGGCTCCTGGGCCCCCCGAGGCTGGCCCTGCTGACACCCGGCAGGAGGGTGGCTGGTCGGGCACTCAGTACTTCCTCTTCAGCTCCCTCGCGCACCGCACTGATACCGGAGCCGGAAGATGACGTCATCTTCTGGCGTCGGCATCCCTACGCGGCGCGCAAGGGAGCTGAAGAGGAAGCACTCAGGGGAGAGTGCTCCCTCGCGCACCGGCCACCCAGACAGCCAGCCCGCCCGGGTCAGCAGCACCACTGGACCCCAGGGAATCCCCCGAGCACTCCAAAAGGTAAGGAGGCTGGGGGGATTAAAATTTTTTTTTTTTTTAAACATGTGTGAGTGTTAGAATGTGTGTGAGTGTTAGAGTGTGTGTGAGTGTTAGAGTGTGAGTGAGTGTTAGAGTGAGTGTGAGTGTTAGAGTGAGTGTTAGTGTGAGTGTTAGAGTGTGTGTTAGTGTGAGTGTTAGTGTTAGAGTGAGTGTTAGTGTGAGTGTTAGAGTGTGAGTGTTAGAGTGTGTGTGAGTGTTAGAGTGTGAGTGAGTGTTAGAGTGAGTGTTAGTGTGAGTGTTAGAGTGTGTGTGAGTGTTAGAGTGTGTGTTAGTGTGAGTGTTAGTGTTAGAGTGAGTGTTAGTGTGAGTGTTAGTGTGTGTGTCTGCTAGTGAATGTCAGAGAGTGTGTTACTGTGTGTGTCTTACTGAGTGTGTGTGTGTGTGTGTGTGTGTGTGTGTTAGTGAGTCTGTTTGATGTCTGTTAGTGAGTTTGTGTTTGTCAATGAGAGTGTATGTTTTGTGAGTGTGTATGTATGTCTGTCGCTGAGTGTGTCTCTGTCAGTAAATGTGTGTGTCTGTTAGCTAGTGTGTATGCTTCTGTAAGTGAGAGTATGTGTGTCTTCAGCACTTACCTTTCTCCAGCGCCGGACTCCCTTGGCGCTGGGGATCCCTCAGCCTCTCCGCTCCGAATGCGACCGCGCACGCATTCAAACCGCCCATAGGAAAGCATTACTCAATGCTTTCCTATGGACATTCAGTGTGCTCCTCTAGCGGCTGTCAGTGAGACAGCCACTAGAGGCTGGATTAACCCTCAGTGAAACATAGCAGTTTCTGTGAAACTGCTATGTTTTCAGCTGCAGGGTTAAAACTAGAGGGACCTGACACCCAGACAACTTCATTGAGCTGATGTGATCTGGGTGTCTGTAGTGGTCCCTTAAGTGTGTGTGCATCTGCATGCACTAGCGTACATACCGCAGTCGTCGCAGCCCTGTAGCCCCTGCGACCAGGTGCCCACCGCCATGTGTTGCGGCCCGGCCCACGGATAAATTTTCGCACCGGGGCCCCATGGGTCATGTGTACGCCACTGGGGACTATAGTATCCCTTTAATGTTCTGCTGGGAAACCTTGAGTCCTGGCATTCATGTTGATATCACTTTGACACATAACACCCACCTAGAGATTATTGCAGACCACACACACCCCTTCATTGTAATGTGTTCCCGGATGGTAGTGGCTGCTTTCAGCAGGATAATGCACCATGCCACACTGCAAAAATTGCTCAGGAATGGTTCGAGGAACATGACAAGGAGTTCAAGGTGTTGCCTTGACCTCCACATTCCCAAGTTCTCAATCTGATAGAGCATCTGTGGGATGTGCTGGAACACCAAATTCATTCTATGGAGGCCCTACCTCGCAACTTGCAGTACTTAAACGGTCTGCTGCTAATGCCAGATACCACAGGACATATTCAGAGGTCTTGTGGAGTCCATAACTCGACGTATCAAATCTATTTTGGAAGCATGTGGAGGACCTACACGATATTAGGCAGGTGGTTTTAATGTTGTGGCTGATCAGGGTATTTTAGCTTGAATTAGGAGTTTTGCAAATAAACCTTTAATGGAACAAACCAAGCACCATAACCACTACAACCCCAGGTTGACAACTTACCCAGGGTCTGTCGTGAACTGGTCACCTCCCCCAGTAGCTTGTGTAAATGCAAGGCTTATTTCATTAGCTAAGAGCACTTAGCTAAAACTCTCAGCCAATGACCTGAACCTTCTGCACTGTTTGGCTCAGAAGAGCTAATGGAAGCTACTTGTTGGAGTTTTATGCTCCACCGGAGGAGGTGGCAGGTGCCCAGCAGACCCAGTTAAGTTGGTAAATGGCTTGGCTACTTACCAATTGAGGGCACCAGGACACTCCTGGCACCAAAACTCCAACATATGGATGTAGTTGTTATGGTGATTTGAGTGTTCCTTTAATACATATTCTGCAGGTATTTAGATTAAATTACTAAAATTGTTACAAATGAAATGCAGATTATTTGAATTGAGGTCTTTTGTTTAGAAAATAAACACAGCATATTCAGTGATGTCAAATAAGGAATATGTGAAATAGATTTTGATATAGAGTACGTACAGGTGATTTAAATCCTTTGGTAAAAGTTCTTCGGATTCCAAGAGGAGTTCTAGATTTAACAGAAAAAACGGGTTAAAGAAAGCAACAAGAAATGACAAGTACTGCTGCTATAACTTAACAAATTATTGGCAAAATGGTACTATATGGCCTTTCATTTCTTTAATTCTGTTAATCAGTCCTTCTGAGCTTACAAATCTAGGGAAGACTATAAGTGAACAACTGGGGAAGTTGGCACATGATAGGATAAAAGCGATTGAAAAGGGTGATAGATGGGGGTAGAAAAGTGATATTTAAGTAATGGAAGAGGACAAAGAAGAGTGGAACAAGTGTGGAATGGGGAAAAGAGAGGAGAACAAGTGCAGGATTTGGAAAGGAGGGGGGAACAAGTGCAGGATGGGGAAAGGAGGGGGAACAAGGGGAGGATGGGGGAAGGGGGGGAACAAGTGCAGGAGGGGGAAAGGAGGGGGAACAAGTGCAGGATGGGGAAAGGAGGGGGAAGAAGTGCAGGATGGAGAAAGGAGGGAGTAACAAGTGCAGGATGGGGTAAAGAAGGAGAAACAAGTGCAGGATTGAGAAAGGAGGAGAAACAAGTGCAGGATGGAGAAAGGAGGAGAAACAAGTGCAGGATGGAGAAAGGAGGAGAAACAAGTGCAGGATAGGGGAAAGGAGGGGGTAACAAGTGCAGGATAGGGGAAAGGAGGAGAAACAAGTGCAGGTTAGAGGAAAGGAGAAAAAACAAGTGCGGGATTGGGGAAAGAAGGGGGAACAAGTGAGGTATGGGAAAAGGAGGGGGAACAAGTGCGGGATTGGGGAAAGGAAGGGGGAACAAGTGCGGGATTGGGGAAAGGAAGGGGGAACAAGTGCGGGATTGGGGAAAGGAAGGGGGAACAAGTGCGGGATGGGGGAAAGGAGGGGAGAACAAGTGCAGGATAGGGTAAAGGAGGAGAAACAAGTGCAGGATAGGGTAAAGGAGGAGAAACAAGTGCAGGATGGGGAAAGGAGGGGTATCAAGAGCAGGATAGGGGAAAGGAGGAGAAACAAGTGCAGGATAGGAGAAAGGAGGAGAAACAAGTGCAGGATAGGGGAAAGAAGGGGGGAACAAGTGCGGGATAGAGGAAAGAAGGGGGAACAAGTGAGGGGTGAGGAAAAGAAGGGGGGGAACAAGTGAGGTATGGGAAAAGGAGGAAGGGACAAGTGAGGGATGGGGAAAGGAGAATGGGGAGATGGGAACAAGCGCGGGATTGGGGAAAAGGGAAGGGAAACAAGTGCAGGATTGGGAAAGGAAGTGGGAACAAGTGCAGATTGGGGAAAGGAAGGGGAAATTGCAGGATTGGGGAAAGGAAGGGGAAACAAGTGCAGATTGGGGAAAAGAGGGAGAACAAGTGAAGGATGGGGGAAGGAGGGGAACAAGTGAATGATGGGGGAAGGAGGGGGGAACAAGTGAAGGATGGGGGAAAGGAGGGGGGAACAAGTGAAGGATGGGGGAAAGGAGGGGGGAACAAGTGAAGGATGGGGAAAGGAGGGGGGAACAAGTGAAGGATGGGGAAAGGAGGGGGAAAGAAGTGAGGGATTGGGAAAAGAAGAGTGGAACAAGTTAGGGGAGGGGGAACAATTTGAGAAAGGGAGGTTTATGGAGAGAGGGACATAATTGGTGAAAGGAGAAGAAAAACACATATGAGGTTTATAAATGGAGAGATAAAGCGGGTCAGATGGAAATTTGAAACAGTGCACAAACACACCTATACATGCAACCTAAATACACCCGTCACTCACATGCATTCACTATCACTTAAAACAAATTTGCTTTTACATACCCATTGTCATTGAGCCATCCAACCAGCCACATACTCTGAACTGATCATATTCCCATATCCACCCAGCCAGTGGCAAAATGTAGTGCACAGTGTCTGCATTAGAACAATTCTACAACTCTACTATAGCTACAGCCTGCTGATATCTGCCCACATATTGCAATTCAGGTTCAAATTCACAGTTTAGGAAATATACCCCTCAGTGTCAGGCTAGTCATAGTCACTAAACTGCTATCTGTCAGGAATTCAAAGTGAGTTTTAAATTTTAGGCCAACATATCTTTATTGAAATTGTAGCTGAACCAAATAATTTTTCCTAATTCTTTTTTCTGGCCTAAAAATATCATTTTTACTGTAAATCCACTATAATTCACGATTTGGTGATTAATCCTGCTTGCTGATATGTTGACAGACCAGATAAATACTAATATAATCCCTGACTACACCATGTTAGACCCTGTGATCACTTACCTGCGGAAGTTAGTCCTCTGTCCTGAAGTAACAGAGGAGACAGGGGTAGAGGATGCCTCAATATGGGGCCCAGTGCTAGTCCTTGCTGTCCCAGGTGAATCCTGGCCACTGTTTTGGTGATGGACAGGACCAGAGCTGGCTGGTTCAGACATCATAACCTCTCCAGCCAGTGGCATGCCAGACAGCAGGCTTTCACTAGAGCTGCAGGTCCAGATGTGCTGTCAGCTGACTGATCACATGATCAGAACTGAACTGTCACGTGACCAGGCTGTCTAGCACTGCCACGTGGTGCAATGCTGGATCTGTCATCAGCCACAGACGCTATACACCCAATGGGTGGGTGGGTAGTTAGTGACTGGCAACATACATTTGTATAAGAAGAGGTTTGTCAGCCTCTGTCAGTCCAGTTGCTGTGGACTGCAACTTCCATCAGGCAGCCAGGACCTCCTGGGGGTTTATTTCACAGGAAGCTAGGCTGACAAAAGTCACCTTGTTTGAGTGGATTCTTTTAATTCTGTAAATAGAATTCTGTCATCCTATCAATTCTATCATCGTCATTATTTTATTATTTACATAGCGCCAGCATATTCTGTAGCGCTGTACAATGGGTATTGCAGGAAAAATAGCCATTACACATGAACTTTAAAGGACCACTATAGTGCCAGGAAAACATACTCGTTTTCCTGGCACTATAGTGCCCTGAGGGTGCCCCCACCCTCAGGGTCCCCCTCCCGCCGGGCTCTGGGGAGCGGAAGGGGTTAAAATTGTACCTTTCTCCAGCGCCAGGCGGGGAGTTCTCCGCCTCCTCTCCTCCTTTTTCGGCTGAATGCTGATGCGCGGCAGGAGCTGCACGCGCATTCAGCCAGTCTCATAGGAAAGCATTCATAATGCTTTCTTATGGACGCTTGCGTCTTCTCACTGTAATTTTCACAGTGAGAAGCGCGCAAACGCCTCTAGCGGCTGTCAATGAGACAGCCACTAGAGGCTTTAGAGGCTGGATTAACCATATTATAAACATAGCAGTTTCTCTGAAACTGCTATGTTTATTAAAAAAAAAAAAGGGTTAACCCTAGAGGGACCTGGCACCCAGACCACTTCAATAAGCTGAAGTGGTCTGGGTGCCTAGAGTGGTCCTTTAATTTAAATGGTTTAAAGGAGTATCCCATTGCTTGAAAGCCATCTATTAATATACAACATTTGTATGGTAAGGTGTTAATATTTAGAAGTTACCATGGAAACCTAACTGTATCTCTTCATCTGTCATTGTTTTGTTCAAGTTACAGTGCTGACATTATTATTGTGCATGTTTACCCTGTGTATTCACTCCTGACTTTCCCTTCTACTGATTTTTTCACCACCAATGAAATACTATTCATATTAAACTTAGCACAATACAGTTCCCCTCCAAAAATCACAGTGTCATTTAGGTTGGTGAATAGGCATTAGAAAGACAATTGTTGATTTCTTTGAGATATATATATATATATATATATATATATATATATATTAATATAAAAGGTTATACTATTAATAAAATCTTCAGATAATGTGGATATATATATATATATATATAATTTTATTTTATTATTATTATTATATATATATTATCTGAAGATTTTATTACTATTTTACCATTTTTCCCTATCTCCTGCAGGGCCATGTATTGGCACCATGTGGTAATAAATAATAAGTGTACAAGGTGTTTGACAGTAGTAGAATGGAACAGGCTGCAGGCAGGATCAGACTCCCCCCGCCCTCCTGCCGGGATGGTACGAACTGGGACTGACGTCACGAGGCGCGCGCGCCCCCGCCGCCATTCGTCAGGAGTCGGTGTCCGAGGGCGCGCCGCGCGGTGCATTGTGGGCACGCGGTGACGTGTTCCCTCGGCCGGACCCAGGATGGCTGACGAGAGCAGACAGAATAAGCTGGCGTCGGCCAAGAAGATGGTAAATAACAGCCGGGGAGCAGAGGGCCAGGCGGGCAGGACAGGGGCCCTGGCACCCACGGGAAGCGGGGCTGGATACCGTGCGAGGGGGATACTGGGAGAGAGAGAAGGAGAGAGACAGACAGGGAGAGAGAGACAGACAGGGAGAGAGAGAGGGAGGGAGGGGGAATGCTGGATAGATTATAATTACCGAGTGCTGGAATTTAATTAGAGAGAGAGAGAGGGGGCAGGCCATGGGGGTAGAAGGGGCGGAATGGTGACAAGCCATGGGGGTAGAAGGGGCGGAATGGTGACAGGCCATGGGGGTGGAAGGGGCGGAATGGTGACAGGCCATGGGGGTGGAAGGGGCGGAATGGTGACAGGCCATGGGGGTGGAAGGGG